CTAAACTTTTATAAACTTTTATAACTTTAAATATTAGGCAGTTTATATTATTCATATTATATGTTTAGCTTTTAACGTCAAACTGTTCCATCTATAGTTTTTAAAAATTTCGTGAAATGTTAAATTTTTAAATATTTCAATATTTTAAGAAAATGTGATAAATTTATTTTTACATCCATTTGTGATTTGTTAATGTTTTTCTTTCATGTAATAAAAGTATTATGTTTTTTTTCTTTCGATTCTTGAAATACTGTGAATTTTTTCCAAATGTTTACTCATGTTGAGCAAATTCATTATTCTATAAACGTCTGTACACAAATGAATATTGAATCATGATATTTTATTTTAATAAATATTAAATTTGTATACACTACACACTAATACACAATTATTTTATAATAGATAAAGATAAACCATGAATAAAAAAACAATCTTTTAAATTTACATTAAGAAAATAAAATATCGACCATCTATAATGATACAAACAGACTTATTGTAATAATTATTAGTTATATATTTATATTAGCTTATATTTAGTTCATCCATAGTATTATTTATGCTTCTTCTTTGAATATTTTCTGATTCTAGGGAAAAAAAGTTTTGCCATAAATAGTCAAAAACAAGACTGTAATATGTAGTATTATCAGTATTTATCCCTAATATTTCGACGGTTTTTTCTGTACACCATCTTCATCGGTACACCGGAGTTTGCTCACATAAAGCTGAAACGGTATTCCGTAGGGGTTAGGTTACACCAGTCCGGATTAAGGGGGGGGGGCAAAAGGGGCCACGGCCGCCGGGCCTCGGTAGTTGGATCTTATTTAGGGGCCTCAGATTTCTCTATTAATTTTTTTCGATATATGCTTAATATTCCATAAATCACCTAAACATAAATCGATGGTAAATCAGCTGCCGACATTATTTTCAATTACATATGTCAAATTAACCTCTCTTAATAATTCTTAATAATAATATACAGCTTTTACTTTTTACTACTAATGTGTATAATGTGTATAATACCTACCCGCATATTGCTACACACATTTTCAATAATCTCTTACCGTCGGCTATCGCGCATCAATCGAACCGCAAGAAGCTGTTTTTGTACATCAGTACACAACAACACAACAAGTTACACAAATTTGTCGTCTTCTGTTATGGTTAGGTTTCATTTTGAATCTTGTTAAATGAATAATATTTAATCGTTTAATAAGTTATTTTTTGGATTTTTCATTCTATTTTCATATTTAAAAAAAATAAATTACATTTTTAAAGTGGTTCTTCAAAAAGAAAAAGAAAAGAAAAACAACAAATTATATAATTATATAGGATTAATGAGTACAGGGGCCTCATTTAAAAATTTGGTCCCAGCGTCTCAACATACCTTAATCCCGGCTTACTATTTTACAAACGTATACGGAAAACCGTAGTACTGTTGAACTATGATTTGACGGTTTTTTTTTGTACCGATTTTTCGGCTAAAAGGAATATTCATAATAAAATAAATCAAATATATTGCTTGACGTGGCGATAAGGAGGCTTCACCACTGATCCGTGATAATGTGAATCTTGATTTATGAATCGTACTACGGGTTTCTGGTAAGAAGGTGTTCCGGTATGTTTCAGTTTTGTTGTATACACCCGTATTACGGTATACCGTTTCATACCGATACCTCAAATGTAATATCTAATATTATAGCAATACAGGTCTCCAATTTTAATGCCGTCAATCCTAACTCAATGCATTGATATCTTAAATGTTTCACATTTGTATAAAATATTTCACTACACGATGAATGAAATATATATGATATTTACTCTGTACTCACATGAATTATTTGAGACTTCAAACCCTATTTACCTAATAAGAAAAAACACAGTAAAATCTTGTAATCTGTGAATTTGTAAGATTATCAAAATATTTCATACCATTGGCAAAATTTTTGAATATCCTGTATTTATTACAAAATAAGCGTGTTGATGAATAAAACAATCCCGCTGAAAAAAAAAAAAAAAATTAGTATAATTGTGTTTGAAAAAAAATGTATTTATAGATGAAAAAAATTATGGTACCGATACATAGTCTTAGATTTGGAGCATATATTATGATAAAATAATTAATTCTTAATAACTCGTGAGATTTATATTATATTGTTCTTTAACAAGTTAAATAAGTACCTACCGTTTTCATTTCCATATCCTTTTATGAACCCACGCAATGGATCTGAAATTATTTGAATTAGATTGTAGTAAGTGCTTATTGTTAGGTGCTTTGTAAATAGTGCATTTCATATTTACATTGTGCACAGTCATAAATATAGCTAGGATTTGAATGACCTCAAAAATACAGAAAAATGCACTATAAAAATGCATAAACTACCTAAAAACTATAAAAAATAAACTTAAAAAGGTACTTAGATAAGCGAAAAATATTTTATTTCAAAATAAATATTATTATTAATTATTAATTATTATTTATTAGTATTTTTTTTTATTATTATTATTTTTAAGCTTGGCAACTGAGGCCATTAGCTGTAAAATATTCATATTTTATACCTCATAAAAGTGGTAAAAATTTGTTTTAAGATGTAAATTATACAGATATATTCAAATTCGAGTTGACTTCTGAGTTTAATTAACATTATTAATTGTTCGATTCATAAACACCTTGCTGAATCCCACTTCGCCGATAACTCAATTTGCCAACAAATATACGAGTTTTACAATATTTATAGTATTATTTTATTATTAAAGTTTCAATTTTCCTGATTCACCAATAGGTGACAATAAATTTATCAAAAACGGGTATATCTGCGATAATATTATTGTATGTAGCCGATATTTATATGGAGACAATCGAATTGCCTTTAATATTTAGGTATTTATCTTTTTTTAACTCGAATCGCCACCCATTGCATACTTAAATTATCGATAGTTTTAGTTACTTATACTATTTATTATTAATTATTATATCAATTTCCTTTATGTCATAATATTATTTTAAGATATATAGTATTTCTCAGACATATTAATTTGTCAAATGAAACAATTTTGTCGATCACTGATTATCAGTTAGATAAGTCCGTCGTCACCGTTCAACATTTTTAAATGTTTCACAAATTTAAATTTTCATTAGAACTGTAAAGAACTTAAAGAAAGAAATGCAAAAATCACCAAAATCCTTGCACTAGTCATAAGTATACATGAATTTTATAATAGAAACATTTAATTGTGCATGATTGTAGATCATTCTCAAAAAACTCACTAATAATAAGTTCTTCATTTTCCACTTTCGCCTCTAGAGAACGTAAAATATAAAATATTATACATTAGGGCATTGGCTCATAATAATATATATTGAATGTATGCACTAATGGACATGTAGGGACATAACGATGCATTACATTGACTACATGGTACTCGCAGCCGCACACAAATAACTTATAAATATAAACCTAACTAGTTATGCATACTTACTTAAATCATTGATTCTGGTATCAAAATCATTGGTTTTTTTAAAAGTGCTATCTATAAAAATATAAATTAAATTATTCATTTATCTCAGTTTCATACATATTTTTAAATTCATTCGAATTGACTAAAAATAATTGTGTCTACAGAAATAGAACATAAAAATACGGAATAATATTTGAGTTCTTCAGTTAGACTGATGCAATGGAGTACGACCCATAATTTTCACCAACGAATCATAAATATCTAACCAAAATATTTCACTGGAATTATTAAGTGTAAAAATCACAATGGCTTCTAAATTTCTCGATCAACTATGATTCTGTGAATGAATAGTCAATTTATAACGAAAATTTAGTTATATATTATAACTGAGTAACTGAGTAACAACTAAGAGCCTAAGGTTTCATATAAACATGAGTCAGAGGTGATAAGAATCAGTTAAAACGATTGTTTTCTTTTTAACGTACTATCGTTCAACACTTGAGTATCTAGAACTTGTCAAACTTCTGATAGGAACATCGTAACTTCTCCTTTAGATCCGTTACTATGATTTCTAATTGACCCAAGATCATATGTAAAATGATGATAAAGCCTTAAAAGTAAGTTCTCTTCAAAGCCAAAGCTCCAACTAAAACCACATCATGACCAACTTCTCAAAAAAAATAATTTACATACCATCACGATGAATATGTTGGCAAAAATAAACCACAGTAATTAATTTCGAAACCACAAGCATAGGACTAAATCCAAATTCTAGTACCTCAGTAGTAGCCGATAACGATGTCGGTGAAAGCAGTTCTAGTTCTGCTCTAACCTTCTACCATTGCAAATTCATCTACCATTAATTTTACTTTGACGGCCGTTAAAACCCTAGGTTACACGCATTAAAAATATTCACGAGATTCCACGCACACGGTGTTTTTGACCGTGTATTGAAATATTTCAATTAAAACTCGATAAATTGAAATAATAATTATTTTATTGATTTTATTTTAAATAAATAAACATTGTCAAATGATTTAATTGATACATAATATAAAAAAATTTAACTTTTATTTAAATTTTATTACATATTAGATTATTAATAATATAAAATATTTTATTCTAAAAAAAAATCATCTTCCATCGTTCGTTGTGAACAGTTTTGGCAAATCGAAGGCGCTGTATGTTCTTTACATATATATGATTGGCAGTCGTTACACAAATTCGATGTTTTTCGATTTTTTTTCCAATTACAAAATGCACATCTTCCAGGAGCATTTGACGTCTTTTGTACTGGTTCCTCTTTAGCATTTGTGATTTCACGTATTCGAACTTTTATATTCATTGGAATGTTTTTTATCTGTACTCTTTCCAATATATATTTATAAATTAATGCTTTTGAAAGACATTTTAAATATTCTCTGCGAACAATTTTTGCATTAGTGTTACTAGCATAAATAATTTGGCTATTTATGCCCGCAATATTTAGAACAGAAAAAAATATTGTCAATGGCCAACGCCGGCTGTTTCTTGAGACGGAATACTTTCCTTTCATTTGGTCAACAGTGTCGACTCCCCTTTTGGTCGAGTTATAAAATTTGATCATTTCAGGCTTTGATCTAGCACAGTCAGTATCAATGCTATCATCGTTATGCATAGTTGATATAACTAAAACAATTTTATTAGCTTTAGGTTTATATGACACTAAAGTCATGTTTTTTTTGAAACCAAAAATACTACTTTCATTCGCCCGCTCTTTGAGTTTTTGAACAAAAATTGGTGGTATTTCTCTCTTATTCTTACGTAATGTTCCAACCATGGTCAAATTATGGTTATTGAGAAGGTCTTCTGCTAGAGGAATACTGCTGAACCAATTATCGCACGTAATATTTCGACCTGAACCAGAAATTGGCCTAATCAATCTTTCCACGACACTACAAGCACTGTTATTTACGTGATAGGGCCCGTTTGGCTGCTTCCCTGCATATATTTCCAAATTATATGAATAATATGTATTTGAATCTACTAATGCAATTATTTTGAGGCCATACTTTGCGGGTTTATTAGGAATATATTGTCTAAAACGACAACGACCTCGGAAAGACTCTAACATTTCATCAATTGTAACATAATTATTCAATTCATAATAGTCTTGACATCTTCTAACAAAGTCTTCAAAAAATGATCGTATTGGTGCTAGATTGTCTACAGATTGTCTCATTGCACGTGTTGTTATATCATCAAAACGAATTGCTCGAAGTAATAAATAAAAGCGATTCATACCCATCGATAATCTAAAATATTCAATACCTGTACCGTCCATAGCCCATAAGTCCTTTATATTCACATGAGAAGACTGATGAACACCTGCTAAATATAATAAACCGATTAGCGCTTTTATTTCTGTTAGACTAGTCGGTCTTGCATCACGTGAACGATCAAACTTTGGTCTTATACGGTCAAGATAAATATTTGTGTATGTAACAATTTGTTCCAAAATAGAATCTGGAAAAAATAAATTTCACGATTCTTCAACACTATTTGCATTTTTAGCAAGCCCTTTTACTCCAGGTATATGTCTAACTATATTATGTCGTCTTATTCTATTATTTTTTGGTGGAGGACAATATTTCCAAAAAGTTTTACCATCTTTCCCTATAAATTGCGGTCCGTTCGACCAATTAGAAAATAAATAGGTGCCATTATCTTCATAATCACCGTCTAAAGATTGTTCAGAATCACTATAATGACTTATATATTCTACCTCATCAACTCCTTCTTCGTCACTGCCTAAGATTTCGTCAAACTCGGTATTTTCATCATCAATATTTTCAATAAGTAAACGAATTTGATCGTCGTCCATTCTAATGAAAAAATAATATAATGTAAAACAAATATATTGAAAATATAGTGTGACTAAAACAAAGAAATACCTGCTAAAAATAAAATGTACTGATACTTACATTTATAAATGTTTTATCTGTATTATACTCGTAGTTACACACGGTATGGCGAACCAATGTCAACTAAAAACAATCTTGCCAGTCACAATGAAACTAAAATATTCATTTACGTTTTATCGATAAGGAATAACGTCTTATCGGCGATAAGAAAGTTAACATAAGTTAAAATTAAATTGTGTGTCAATGTCACAGTATAACACGCACACGGTCTTTTAGACCGTGTTTTAATAGGTAATGGACTTTGAACCCTTCTATAGTACAGGCAACAAATCGTATACAGTTAAGAATTGTATCTAATGTTAGTTTATCATCTAATTAGAAGGTACCTAGATTGGGTTAGGTTAATATTTCGTATTTTTGAAACAATGAACAAAATTCAAAAAGCCCGGTCTTTTTGACCGTGAAGCGTGTACTCTAGGGTACTTCCACGTTTTGAACTAAACCTCCATATTCAACGATTAAGATAATACAAACAAATTAAATCAACTACGAAACAATGACAGTGATATTTCCTTTGATGCAATAACCGTCAATGATAAAAAATCAGCCATATAGAGGCAAGCGATGGTGATAAACTAAATGGAATTTATTTCTCATTATATCATTATTCATTATCATCGGTAAAGAATATGCAAATTGAATATGTGTTCATATACTCAGTTTTCGACGTCAAATGTTTATTAAATACGTAGATAGTTATTATTAGAATATTTTTATGACCATAAAGTTATAGGTTAAGATTTGCTTAAAGCTTTTATTATAAATAGCATTATTTAACAAAAATTGTATTGTTTGGTTCATTTTAAATTTAATATTACAGAATTAGCTTGTTGCAGATGCAATATGGATAACAACAAACTGTGAAACTTCTTACAATAATTGTGATTTAACCTGTTACATATTTATTAGATACATAACTTTTTGTTCTAGGTTTGAAGAAGTTTAATGTAATTGAATAATCAATAAGTGTATATTGTATAAACAAGAAATCAAGGTTGGGATAGTTATATGTTATAACTATCCCAATCTCGATAACTTATAACCAATATTTATATTGTTTTATTTCTTATACTAAAATCATTGATTATAAATACTACCTAGTAACAGTAGTAACTAAAACTTACTAGAACTTATAATCAATGGTAAAATGTTTATTAAAACATTTGAAACTAGACATTGTATTTTATAGAAATATAGTAGTATAAATAGCATACATATACATTTTACAAACCTATCCTAACGTAAAATCTAAATGTATTAAACCAATTACTTGTTAAATCTTGTTAAAGCGATTTTTTGCAAATAAATATTACAAACGAGTACATTCATTATCCTTCTACAACTCATGGGCGAATAGGTACTTTGTTTTTTACCCGGATATATTTATTAGGCCACATATACCTAATTTGATTTACCTATTGTTATATATTTAATCACATATGACTCTAAAGGCACAGTAAACATTAAACAACATTTTAATATTTCACTATGACTAACTAATACTGTGTATACTTACTTATAAACAATAAGATCAAAGACTCCTGTATATAATGTGGAGTCTTAGCTGTATAAAAAAATAAATTATACCATGTAAAAATTAATGTTAGGCTAATAACCTAAGATGCTGAAGCCAATTTTCTTTATATGAAAAAAAAATGTAGTAATAATTTAGCATACTAGTATGTCTCAACGTTGTATTAATAAGAAATGCTACAACAATACAATTTATCATATTCTTCAAGGTGATTTATTTTACTCTTCCCCAATGCAGAATTAAAATAATGTACATAATATACTTATGTATAAGGTCTCTTTCAAATAATCAATTGTAATATAAGTAGGTATATGAAAGCTACTATCCATACTATCTATCTAAATCTCTCTCATATTATCATTAATACATTTTAGGTTAGATGATTAATGCATTTTTTTATATTTTTACTACCTATTATAATATATTTAATCATATATCAACACCTAAAACATTATAAAATATACTTACTTATGTCATCTTGTTTATTTTTATAACCCTTAGCTATTAAAAGGAAATATATATTATTGATATGTCTCAGTTTGATACTGTTTTTATATTTCAAAAGGATCAATTACACGTACTTTTATATTGTATAAGTAATGTAAACGATAAATATGTGATTGTAATTAAATTATTAAGTTAGCCTGATGCCATGAAGTATCACCCTCAATTTTCAGCAATGGATCGAATATTATCATTAATACATATTATTTTAATACTTGATTAATGTCTATTGATATGTTTATAACTTACTATTTTAATATAACAACGTAAATAACTTATAATGTATACTTACGGAGAGTTCCCATTAAAACATCCGACCTTGAAATATCTTCAAAAGATGCATTCACTATAAAAAGGTAAATTATATTTCACATAAATATTTGTTTGTATATTTTAGACAAATTAATCAGTACGACCATACGTTGTTTGAAATTAGGTAACAGTCAGTTTCTACATATGTAGGTGTATGTGTGGTTGGCGGCGCCGCGGAAGCAATACGAAAGCAGTTCCCGCGGCGTCGTCGGTTGAAAACTGGGGGGAAAAAAAAAGGTGTATGTGTGGTAAGGACTTGTTGGTGAAAATAATGAAAGGTGACCCACCCTTGACTTAGCGACAACGGCTTTTAAAATTTAAATTAATTGCGTTATATGAACACATCGTCTCTTTTTCGACAACGGATGTTAGTCTACTTTTCTGGAAGGATTTAATTTTTTTTTTAACTGACACATATTCATATTTTAATTTATTTTATTTTATTTTATTTTATTTTTTCAAGGAGAGAGCCCTCGGCGACATAGGCCATTGGGTTTTTGTGTTGTATAGGTTTGTATTGTAGGTTTTTGGGACGGTAGGGGGGAACACGTGTGTGTTTGATTTGGCAGAATTTCGAATGGGGCACTTGTAGGTTTCTGCCATGCCCCGGGGGTGGGGGATAGCAGCACTTGTTCTCCGGTCACCGCGACTTGTCCGGAGAAAAATGCCGCCCGGTTCCCGAGGATCGAACAGCGATCGGCTGCGTCGCAGCGGACGCGTCAGACCACTTGGTCACCTCGTCCCCTCATATTTTATTATTATTATGATTTTGTCGAATATCCATATTAATTCACATGTTTTTACATTGATTATTATTTTTTATTTGAAAGAGGAAAATATTTTACAGCCCGTATCAAACCTAGTTTTTCAATATTTCAATCTCAAACTTCATTATAGGTCTTTAAAAAAATGAAGGTTTTTCTTGCAAAATATTATACAGCGTTTCTTAAAATTAAATGAAATCTAAATTCAACGTGTTCTGTAGAATGTTATTTTTATGAATTCAAAAAGAAATTATTTGAAAAATATTCAGTCGACAGATGGATTATACATATTTATGTGAAGTCATTTTTGTCCGCAGAAATGAAAAATTTAATATTTTGTAATTTGTTCAATAGTGATATGTAGAATGAACACAAGCTCGTGTCATAGAGAGACGACGAAAAGAGGTGGGGAATGAGTTGAAAATAATTAGATCCTTAATATATGGCTGGGAGCAAGGAGCCTTAACTTCATGATCTTCTATACTTTCTATTACTCCTGGAAACTTCTTGTTGACTACTTCTATTATCCTCTCTAACAATAACTCTCTATAATAAAAGTCAAATTCATTTACATCACGTTAAAATCGTTACTTATAAAATATTTTTCCCTTCTGGGAACATTTAAAATAACCAAGGATGACATAACAATAACACTTTCACTCAATTTTCTGTTGCCTTATAAAGTTATAACTGATGAAAAATTAATTATTAACTATTTTCTTTTTTAATTTGGTATTTCTAAAACAATAGTCAAAAATCACTTTCTTTAGTATAGTGACTAAAGAATTACTATCGACTCCAAATGACATTATCTTACGTTTAAGTAATCATGATATTTACAATTAAGTTAACAATAAGTTGTTAATTACTTTAAAATTTGCAGTGTTACTAAGATTGTACATTTGTACAATATACGTGAATACGTGATAGTATATAGTGTATACTTACGTAATAGTGTGGTGATCTACTGATTTAATAACCCCCACCTTTACATGTAAAAAAAATCCAACAATGGATTTCCACTTCCCTCAAGAACAATGTCCGAAATTTTGTACATTTTATTTTTAAAATATTATATGTATTTTTTCTAATATTAAATGTAATAATATAACTATGCAATACCCGATTAGTAAGAATTTAAGGAAGTTTGGCAAATAAGGTTATCAGCTATAAACAACAATACTCAACACTCTATTTCGTATCTATTCTTTGGATAGTTATCAATTCTTAAAACATTCTACATTGCCACAAATACACTATATGTATATATGTGTGTGTGTGTGTGTGTGTACAGCCATAATATTTTATTAATGATCACAGATTTATATATAATTAGAGTTGAATATAAAAAAGTGAAAACTACTAACAAAAAAAAAATTATAATTAAATTATAAATTATAATTTATACCTTGAAAATTGCATTATATTGTTATGTTTTTGAGAATATTTTCAAATTTGAACGATCAGCTATTATTGGTAAGAAATGTTTTGTACGTTGAGAATGAATGTTCTACATCGACCGATGTGATAGTGGCGAACTTGAAGTATGGAACATGACTATTAGAAATATAATCTGGACACCGTATTCAAATCTTCAATGTATTTTTGCCAAAAAAAATGCAAGACATTTTTTCAAAAGTTATGGACCAGTATTTTTTTTTTAAAACTAGTTTTAATTTTAACTGTATTTTTAATCCAATTTTACCGATTTTCAAATGATTTTTCTACATCGTTAATTATTTCAATATAGTCAGGTAATAAAAAACCATGTGTTTTTAAAGATGTA